CTTTGACTATCGTATCTTCCAGCTGACGACTCTCTGTAATAGATGTTCGCGCAAAGAGAGGTGCAGATCTGTCCGCCGGTCACCATCTTGTTGTTGGCACACCACGCTGTGAGAAATGGAGTAGCATGGGACGATCTGGTGACACAAACAACCAAAGAATAAAATAGTAAGCATTATCTTCTGCAGGTACGAGGACAAAACTTGAAAACACCATCGCACGATGGTCGGATGCATCCCAATGATGACCGCTGATGTGGAAACCGAAGTACAGCGAGCGGTGTACTAATGGCTGCCGCCGAATGCTGCAGTTTCATACGGGTTGGCCTGCCGCCTGGAGGTCATAAAAGAAATTCCTGGTGGACACAAAGGGTACAACTGGACCTCAGCGAGAAAAACGTTGCGTTCAAGAAAAGGTTTGGAAGCAAAGAGCCTTGATCTCGCATGCGCTATGATGACAGAAAAAGCAGTAGCGAAAATCGAAGCTTATTCCAGAGAGAAGTTCGGCGAAGTATTGCAGTCGAAATTTCGGGTGGTTAACAAAGTATCTTGACAGATAATCCGTCGTCTTCGAGGTGAAAGGAAGAACAGTCTATGAGTCTTGAGGGATAGCTCTGGAAACGCTTTTAAGTGATGATAGGGACATTCTTCGGAGATGAAAAGAGTGCTTTGAAGAACTTATTAACGGCAAGCAACCATTGGAAGACGCTTGTGGAACAGCAGGGAACATATATTGCTATTTCTGCAGATGAAATCACACAAGCTGCGGAAAGCTTGAAAAGTGAGAAGGCTGTTTGAATTGATGAGATCCGCCCTGAATTGCTGAATGCATTAGACGAGCAGGGCATGTGTTGGCTTACACGTTTCTGTCAAGCTGCAGTGGCTACGAGGAACACACCCGCGGACTGGAGAATGAGAGTTGTAACCCCATTCAATGAAGAAGACCAGAGGGAGTGCTCCAGTTATCGCGCTGTTACCTGAGATTCCCTGGAAAAGTACACACAAAGGTGCCAGAAAGGAGGTGCCACGAATAACCGACTCTGAAATACAAAAAACTACTGCGGCTTCCGGTCCGGTCGAAGCACCTTTTACCGTATATTTTCCCTGCGCCAGATTGTTGAGAAATCGCGGGAATTCGCCAATCCGGTGTACATGCGCTTTGTTGACCTAGAAAAAGCCTGTGACCGGATTCCGCTCAGTAGTCTGTGTTCATACCTTCGAGCATACGGGATAGATGGCCATCTAATCACTGTATTCTGATTGCAGATTGAGTCAGAGTAATTGGCGTTAAGTCAAAGCCTTTCAGTGTTGGCAGTGGTCTCCGCCAAGGCTGCGTTTTATCCCTACATGGATAGAATAGTCAGGAGCATCCAAGGTGATGAATGTATCGGTGTAGGAGATGTGGAAACAAAAAGGTTGCTGTTTGAAGATGACCTAGTTTTATTGGCATCTTCTTACACTGATCTACAATGCTATCTGGAAGGGAACCGAGAGCTGCGTGGCCGGCATGCTTGTGAACATATCTAAAACGAAAAATGTAGTGCTTTCTCGTTCTCCTGCTCGTTGTTCTCTTTCGATTAAAGGAGAGGCAGTGGAGCAGTAGAGAAGTTGAAATACCTCGAGGTCGTGTTTACTGGTAATGGAAGAGATGAAAAATTTGAGGAAGTATTAATCTGCGGATTGGAGTAGTTAGTGGCGTTCTACGTGAATTAGCCCGAACTTTTATGAACTACGGTGTTCAAGTTTGTCTTCGTCCCCATGCTTTCCTACGATCATGAGCCGTGGACAATGACTGAAAAATTTCGATCCCAGGCAGAAGCGGCTAAATTGGGTTTTCCGAGACGAGTCATTGGCTGTACGCGTCTCGACATGGTTCAGAATGCAGACATCCGCGAGAGTCGTGATGTGCAGCCGCTGCTTTTTCAGATTGAGTTACCGCTGTGATGGTTTAAGCATGTGTTGCGAATGCTTCCAAAAAGGAATGCGAAACGACTATTTCTTGCCCAGCCGATTGGCACAAGGCCCATAGGACGACCGAGGTTGACCTGGCGCAAATGTATCGAAGGAGTCTATTCCAGACTCCATTTATCTTGGCCGAAGCTCAGATTCTGGCACAAGATCGGGAACGTTAGAAGCAATGTCTGACGCGTCTGGATCCATTGCACGAAAGAAGAAGGTGTCATGGAGAGTGAACTGATGCAGTGATGTGTCAGCTGAACAACCAAGTGTAAATATGGCAAGAAAATAGTCAGCTAGCCTGAACGGCGTCTGTTCGACGCACAGGAGGATTAGGTATCATGTCTGCAAGTAGCTTTACAAGAGAGTTCTGCGGGCTACTGCGAAATTTCGACTAGACAGGCGACCATACTGTTATTCAGGGCTTTACGCGAAAGTTAGGAAACTGATTAGCAGTGCAGCATGCACCGAAAGCCCGCTTCATAACCTGACGCTCGAAATGAGATTTGATCATACAGTCGCTGTAGTTATACACAGGACGAAGATAAAATAGTTTTTCATTGAAACGTTTGGTTTTATTTCATTCCTGTGATTTCGTTGGTGAAGAAAGTGCTGAGTAGCGCTTCTGAGCTAGCTGCCTTCAAGTCCGTTTGCGCACTTAGCTTTACCTTTTGTGATACTGGATTGTTGACTGCAGGAGGGCGATTCCGCTACAAGCGGCAGGAATAAATTTTCTTCGAAATTTTGTTCACGTGGCTAGACTCGACAAAATTTGGAACATGACGGTTCGAAATGCCCGTTGTTGGCAGCTGCTCATTCTCCAGGTCGAGAGGCCACAATTGTAGGGGTTTTCAACAGGTGATGAGGATGATATTGGAAACTGAAACAAAACCGCATAACATGTGTGAGCGGTTGAAAGTGAACCAAATTTTTAGATTGTATTGACCTAGACCATTGAAAAATTTCCTGCATGAAACACAACTCGCTGCCTGAAGGGAATTACTCGTTTCAGTGAGTGATCGAACGTTTCCTTTAATTTTAGCCTTCATGAGGAATGACATTGCTCTCTTCTGAAGTTTTAGCTCGTTTTCAAACTCTTTGACTGACTTTTTTGTCGTTGGATTAGAAGACTACATGTTCTTATGCTTCATCTGATGTTCAAAACTTTTTCCAGCTTCAGGGGTAGTGCTGGTAAGCCAATAAACGCATTCCCGATTAATTTTTCTTCATTTGTTTCATGGTAAATAAGATTTATGAATATTGTTTGCAGCGAAACATGGAAGGGAAATTCTTTGTTACGTAGACGCGGGTGTAAGATCTTGAATCGAAGTCCAGAAGTTTAGAGTCCAAAACCTTGCAGGAGATTCATCAGATTTCGCTAAGCATTCAGGAGCCCAAAGTTCCCGAAGCCTTAAAGGCAGACGTCATTGCCTAGCTTTAGAGGAAAGTCACCCTTATGTCAAGGCTGAAAAACTGTTTGCATAAGTAGAACTCAGAAATGTTTCACAAGCATGCAGAGAGTACGCAAGTAGCATTTAGAAGACTGAATGGTGTCGTCGATCATGCACTGCCAATCAAGAAACATAGGCATGATTTCAACGAGGATGCACGCGCACAAGCAGAACATTACTGCCGGAAGAGTGCAGAAGACTTTCTATGTCATAACACGCAAAGTTGCCAAAATGCAGATAGATGCAGATAGGCTTCCATTCTGTCTATCGTTGGACAGTAAGCCTCGTGTTGCGTGGTTATTGAATCCCACCAGCGATGATCGATTTCGCTGAGGAACGTGGTTCTTCTCAGAATCGGAGGATTGGAGTCCTAAATCTTGAATTCAGGACTGAAACAAAAAGGCACCAATGCGAAACTGCCTAAATTTTTTTCAGCTTGTCACTGCAAGGTTGAGAGCACTCAGGATTGTGCCGCTGAACTATTGCATGAGAAGCAGGCAGGTGTCAAGATTCTTGTTACAGTGGTATTCTTGATGACTGTCACTTTTCTGTGAGGTCAGAAATATTTTGCACTAATTGCTTTTTCTTTAGCCATTATCGTTCCTTTTCGTATTTATTAGCTTTAGTTGTTAGTATAAAGTATAAACGTTACTGCCGAAAATACGTCTACCAATTGTTTCTCTTGCATCAGATGCAACGTTAATGTTTTATTTGGTGAATAACTTCTTCAACCAGCTGATCATCATTCATCAGTGCCTGCACAAATAAAAGATGACTGAGTGCCGGTATAGCTGTTTTTAACAATTTTGACAAATACGTTGCATTTACATGAAATCTATGACCAGATGGCTCAACAAGGATACAGCTTGTGGTACTTGCTTTGGTTTGAATACTGTCAATCATTCTCAGATTTGTTGGTTCAACCAAATAAAAGGGCATTGAATTTGAATGTGACGATGCTGAAAATGATTTTAAGTCTCGTCCAGTGATATGAGAATATTGAAATATGGTTTGACTTTGAAGACTGTAGATGCATAAGCAATTGACGAAAGAGGGCAGTAGCACGCAATATCCTTGGATGGTGTACAGAAGTATCTCAGACTAACGATGTGGCAATCATTTTCTTCATACAGAGGCATACAGAAAAAGGCACTTTGAAACTAAAAGATGGAACAGTGCAAACGATCATAAATGCGTTTCGATGAATTTTAATCAGCCGTAAATCGAGCGAATATTACTTTTCTTCGTATAATTTAAGAGAACTGAAATTTGATTTATGACAGTACCGTATATGTGTTTCTGTCTTTAGATTCTTCTGCGACTCCATGCAGCGGCAATGAAGATGTGAAACATGTTGAAAGTAAGTGTTGGATTCGGTGACCAAGTTGATTTCACTCTCCTGCATTTATGCACTGGGTGCCATTTCTGATAATCTTCTTTATAGAGGTTTTTGTGCTGCTCTGACATTTGGTTTCTACTTACGTGATGGTACTCATTAATTTCCTGCATGAGGAATAAATGGCGACTTGTCTTGTTAGGACGTCACTGCTGATTGTGGCTTAGTTGTTGTAAAAGCCTTGTTATCTGACATGTTACGGTAGGGCCCGCTCTAATAAGTAATCGGAATTTTAGAAATCTTCCAACGCAGTTCGTTATTCCAGCAGCCGATGTGGTCTACGCTCGCTAGTTGTTCCACGCAAAAATGGCAGTAGCCATATAAACGGACTGATATCCTTGGTTTTCTTCTAGAGGGCTTATGATGCTTGCTGTTGAGCTTGAGAGGAATATCCCAAGGAAGTGTAACGAGATTCAGTGGAAACGCAGTGACGTCCTCCACCCGTAGTACAGTTTGGCAAAGGGCCAATTCTATTTTATTTTTCGTCTAAGTGCTTCTTTCAGAAATCGCTGACACATTTGGTTAGTGAGTACTTTATTGCTTTTACTGTGTAATTTTATTTTTACAGTGCAGTATACGGGGTAGTATACGTTTTGACTTACCATCCCTTAACAGGTTGGGCAAGTACCGGATAACCAATCGTTTACTCTGACTTGAATTTAATTTAGGACATTTTTTGTTGTCATATAAGCAGATTGTCGCTATCCACTTGTTTAGAAGCGCGCTTATGCTGTTTGGCATTGACAGAGTGACTGTAAAAGCTGTTCGTCTTATGTTAGTTTCAGATTACAACGCTGCTACATACGGCTCACCGGCTGACTGTCATATCGAATCCATATGAAGTAGTGATGGAGCCGTACTCTGCGGTTCGAAGCCGTATTCATTACAAACACATATGCATTAAATGCACAAAGTTACAAAGGGCAGGCGCAAAAGCAAAAATATTAATTCAGATGCATGTTTGCACTTGCAAGATTCCAACTGATGCAGCCTTTGGTATACGAGTAAATTAGCTAATCACATAAGTCATGAGATTGATCGTTAGTAATTCATGGCTACCAAAAAACGTTTTTTTTTGTAGATGCAGTTAAAACGGCTCGAAAGTTCGATTTCAACGAAATATTTGAGCAGACGCGTCAGTCGGCGATTTCGCGTTATCGAGGGACGGTGGAGGGGATTCACGAAGACAAAGCGTCGACCAGCAATAAATCTGGATATGTAGCTGACGCCTCGCGGATGTTAAACGCATCATACAGCGAACTCGATGAAGATGACGAGGAGGGAGAGGACGACTTGGTCGGACCAGCGGTTCCGGATGCATTGAGTACATTAGGCTGGGGATTCCAATGACGGGTACTAACGAATCGATGTCATTTAGAGCCCTGTCGCTCTAGTGCTGATGCGGACGCAGATTACGATAGTGGAGTGGACGACGAGTACAACACAGGCGGCGAATCACACGAAATGGTTTGTTAACAAAACAGTCGTTAAGATGTGAATTGAAATAGGTTTTTAGAGACTTTAATTACAGTAGGCAGCCAATGGTTTGTCTTAAATCTGAACGTTGCTGTTTTCCTTTTTAAACGGAGTCACAAGATGATACCAGTACTTAGAGCATAATACGACATTGAAAAAATAGTCAGGAGCGAAATACATGTCAGTCTTATTTCGATGGCACGCGGTATATGCCGTATTGTCTTATCTATTATGTCAGTATGTCTAACTTATCTATATCCTCTAACTGTGTATCGAATATTGAGGTATTATCTCCGGGATTTAATTTCTTTGCGGGATTCAGTGGAGCGTTTATTCTCGGTTGTATTTGGCGTCCTTAAAGGTTTGAGTAGTTTGAAAATAAATTTGTGCACGACATGCATAACTGTTTCGGCTGCTGTTTGTTTTTTTTTGCGCTGTTAGAAAACCGTTTCAGAGCTGTTATTAAAATGGTTGACTACCCACGCACGAAAGGATTTCTTAGTTTTTTTTATCCAAACCTGAAAGTCTTATTGTCTGCAGCTGTCAATTTTTTTGAGATTTCTTGTTGCTGCTGGATCGAGAGATCTTCGGTGATATAGCCCAGTTCCTAGAAGCATAGTGATATACTTGGACTTGATAACATGAAGTTGTAAAGAGCTTTGTGAGAGATCTCTGTATAAACGAAGAATGCTGCGAATAAAGCTGATATTGACTATATGGATGCCGTCAGAAACAACTTTAATCTTCGTCTTCCATGACCGATTCTCCTTTCGGGTCACAGAGGTAGACGCGTCAGGCAGTCCTTCCAACGTTCCCGATCCTGTGCCAGAGTCTGAACTTCAGCGAAAGATACTAGAGTCAAGACCATACTCCTTCCATATATTTACACGATGTTAATCTTGGCCATCCCTTAGGTCTTCGCCGGGTAGGCTGAACAAGAAACAGTTACTTCGTCTTTCTGGATGCATTCGCAGCATGTCTGATCCATAGTAGCTGTGACTTCTCAGCCTGAAGAAGCAGCGGTTGTGCACCAAGGCTCTCGAGGATGTCTGTATTCCGGACCGTGTCGCAACGAGTAAGGCCAGCGATTCGTCTCAGAAACCCATTTCGGCCGCTTCTGCCCGGAATCGAAGTATTTCGGTCATAATCCATGACTCATGACCGTAGGTAAGCATGAGGATAAAGATCGACTTGAACATCGAGAGCTTAGCCTTCAGACGCAGCTCTGCTTTAGTCACAACCTTTCGCGCACTTTCACGCAGAACGCCACTGGCCACTCGCATCCGCCAGTCGATCTCTTCTTCAAATTTTCCATCACTAATGAACACGACTCCGACGTACTTGAACTTCTCCACTTGCTCCACTGCTTCTTCCTTAATCTGAAGGGAGTAGCGAACAGGAGAGCGAGAAAGTACTGGATTTTTTGTTTCAGGCACATTCACACGCCCCTCGGCCACGTCGCGCTTGGCTGCAAATCTTTCCATAGAGCGCTGGAGATCAGTTTTAGAAG